CCGCTGCTAACTTCCCACGCCTCTGCACGAGGAATGACTTTTGTTTGTAGCCTTTCAACGTTCGCCCGCGCACTCGGTCCCACGACCCAGGCATTATAGTCATCCACGAACGCGATAGCCCCTTGTGTCTTGTTGATGGGGGTCTGAACCAGGTCTGCATTGAAGAAGAGGAATAGAGTAGCTGACAGGGGGGAGCCCTGGGGCAGTCCCGACTGCGGGAGATCGACCATGTCTGATGTCTCACCGTTGACCAACACACACGCTTGTCGGTTCGAGCAGAACGATTCCACCCAGCGCACCACCGTCTCGGGCACCTGGCGACATCGCAGGCGTTGGAGAAGGACGTCTCGGTCGACGCCATTGTATGCCCCCTTGACGTCAAAACTGACCAGGCTGAGCACTTTGCCGTCTCGCCAAGCGTCGTAGATCTTCTCCTGCAGAAGCGTGAGAGCTTGGCTGGTCGAATGACGTTTCCGGGCGCCAAACTGGTTCTTTGGCAGGAGAGAATACGTCTCGGCCAGGAAGGATAACCTCTGTGCTAGGACCGACTCTAACGCCTTCGCCAGCGTGGGTAACAGCGATATCGGTCGATAGGACTTTGCGTTCGTGTAGTTTGGCTTGTCTGGCTTGCGCAGCGGTATGATTTTCGCCTGTTTCCATGCTTGCGGGATGATCCCCGTTCTCAATGACGCCTCAAAGAGGAGGAAGATCCACCGGCCGAGGATCGGCCACAGCTCTTTCCAGACAACCGCGGGCACGTCATCCAGGCCGGGTGCTTTATATGGCTGCGCCCGGAATACCGCTCCTTTCACCTCATGCATGGTCAGTGGTTCCCACGGAAGCTGGTTGTCTTCTGCCCTCGACACGTGGTCCTGCCTCGGAGGGTGAATCTTGCTCTCGAAGAATTCGTCGAGCAGAAGCCGACTGATTTCGGCATTATCCTCCACCAATCGGTCTCCGACCGTCAGTCCAGGGATACGGTGGAAACCACCGCTCCCGTCGGGTTGGAGGTACTTCGCCGCCTTCCAGATGTTGTCGGTGTTCTGTAGAAACTCGTCCCAGTGACATTTCTTTTGTCGTTTCACCGTGTCGTGGAAGCGCTTTTTGGCCTCTCGGGCCGCACGCTCCAGCAATCCATCACCGGTGCCAGCCCTTCGCAGGCCCCGACAGCGGTTTCGTACTTGGGTGTAATCTTGTCGAAGTCTCGTCAGATCGAGATTCCACCACCGTCGCGTATAGGGTGACGGTCTCGACGTAGGCACGTGTTGATGGTTGCACCATCTCATTCAAGCGGGTTGACTGCTCCTCCACTTCATTGTGCCCTATCCTTTCAGGGGGAATTCCCACCTCTCGGGCCATGGCCGTCCGAATCCGTTTCCAATCCGCGCTTTTAAAGACCTTTCGAGGTGGCGTAATTACCTCGGGCACCTCAATCGCGAAAGTGGTGCTGATGGCGATGTGATCCGACCCGTGCTCCATACTGTGCGGTTCGCAGATTAGCCGATCTTCGGCCAGACCACTACTGGCGAAAACGAGGTCGATGGTGCTGTCACCGCTCGAGCTCTCAAAGATGACCGTGCCGCGGGGGAGGAGAAGCCGTAGGTCGAGGTCATCCACCAGATCCAGAATCTCCTGTGCCTCTCCTTGCCGAGGTGAAGGACCGATCGCGTCGCCACCCCATAGTTGGTCATGTCGATTGAAGTCACCGGCGACGATAATCTCCCGTCCTATTCCGTGCCGTCTGACCGCCTCTCTGATCAGTCGTGCTGTGATTTGAAGCGCCCCTGTGTCTGCCGGTGGTACATACACCGAGATGGCCAGGAATAGCCGCCCTTCAGCCTGGAATTGTATCGCGGCTATGTCTGGCGGGGCAACTTGGACGCTGCGCGCACGTAGCTGGGCGCCGGCGTAGATGAGTGTTCGGATTGGAAACCGCGCCCCCACCGCTATCTCCGTCGGGAGGATTTGTTCCCATCTCAAATGACATGATGGTGGAGCGATCACTCTCCCGTCGTCGCGGATGAAGCATGTCGGTTCCGTGATCATAATGAGTCCATGGTCTTGCAATGCTTCGTCGTTCATCAGACTGTGTTGTGCCGCCGGTCTTTTACCCAGATTCGCTTGGAGCACCCGGAGTGGCCTAGCCATGGCGTTCCACAGGATTGAGCCGGCGAAGTAGCTCCATGTACCGTGGACACGACCGATCAGTCGCTGGGTGTGGCCCTTGACAGGCTGCGCACCGCGTGTCGTGGGCCGTACACGCCGGCGCCGCATGCCCCGATTGTGCACATCGGCCGCACACCACCTCGCTCGATCGGCACCGAGTTTCTTGGTGGCCGTATTGGTGACACTTGTAGCATCTCGTGGGAGTCTGTCGCCGTTCGTATCGCCGCGTGTACGCCATCTCCCGCCGATGTCCATGCTCCCTCTCGCCAACAAGGCATCGGCCTCGTGTTGGTGAGTCAAGAATATGACCACCGATCCATACATCTTGTCCGTCGTACGACTGAGCCAGCGAATTCGTTCGATTTGCACTCCGTTTTCCTGTGCCACTGCCTCCATCGCTTCCTTGGCCACGGTCAACGTCCCGTCCGGGCTGAGGGTGTTGCGATGAACTCGATCAACCTTGACTGGGTACCATTGTTTATGGGTCTATCAATGGAGGGAGAAACAGTTAAGATACAGTACACAATGCAGGTCTCGCACGTGACGTCAGGTTCGTGATTTTAATGCTAAGCAGTCGGTGAGGTCTCTGACTGTCACAGTGGTTTCCGTAAATCAGATGCTAGAACCTCCTGTAACCCTTATCTTGAAATGCTTAAACAGTGGTCTCGAGGCTACGCACAATCAAGGAGGTGTTGGGCGTAAACGGTCTTTGTTAGACATCGTTTTTTCGCTTAAATTGGTCGCCCTCAGCTGCCACCGACAGGTCTCCTAATGTTCGGAAGAGGGTTGGAGCTGGCGCCTGTAGCTGGGTGTAAGGGAAGTATGTTTGTTCAAGATTTGCCAGATTGGTGGCTTAGCGGCTCATCGTGAAGGAGCACAACTTTTCTGAGTGTTTGACCGCAATAAGGCTGACGTACGCACGTTCAATTACTTGACCTAGAGTGTGAGTGCTCATATCAACTGACAACTCACTTCCATGTCTACTGCTCCAAGTCTGTTCCCTTCCAACAGCGTATATTGATGAGATTTTCCGTCAACAAAACGAACATACATCGTCTGACGCCTCTCAGGGCGCTGTCTAGAATGATAAGTCCTCCGGGAATAATTACAACGAAACAATTACGAGGTGTCGGATAGGTGGGAGAGAACCGATGAAGCCAGAATCAGGTACTATAGACGTTGGAAGAACTCTTCTGTTGCTTGAAGTATCTCTTTCAATTGTTGACAGTTGGCAATGGCCACGAGAGTGAGTAGGAAACCGGGATGAGAATCACCGAACAATAACAATCGGCTGATCATCGAACCACTGTCGGCATTGCTTCTCTTTCTCGTCTCTTAGGTACAAGCTGCCTCTCGGTGTCGAAACTCTGGAGGATTGTCCAAGGCGATAGTTATTCCCGTCATCATCAGATCTCTCATTTGTGCAATTCGCGACACGAACTTCCAGCGTACCTCTATTTGTTTTCAACTTGAGAAAGGTAACCGCATCGCTGAATTCAATCTCATGTAAGTGGGGCTGCAGAGCTTCGTACATTGCTCTACTCTTAGTGTTTGGACAGTGAAGCACCATGAGATTTGCTTCCAAGGACCCATGTTCGCAGTTCTGATATTGACACTTGATTATGACCCAGTGATCACGATAAGTGACGAAAAACTTTTCATGATCACCACGGCGCAAGCTCTTGTTCAAAATCCAAGGATGATTCTTGTTTGGTCCATCGCAAGAGCAGCTGGTGCTGGAGCATTGCTGAGACACACCGCAATCCCGCCGAGGCAGAGGGCTCGTATAGGACGAGAATGAGTCGCTGGAGTCAGGAGGAGAGAGATCATCCGTGCCGATATTAGAGTCACGAGCGGCAGGTTTGTAGGAGTGCATATGTCGCATGGCTGATGTCTTGCAAGATTCTTTACACAGAATATCTGGTATACGAGAAAAGTTCCGGGTAAAAGGACTGCTTTTGGAGGCGTTTTGAAGAATTTAAGCTGGCAGTATCTAGCTACCTGGGACCAGATGCGGCGGCCCTTCTTTTCGTTAAGTGCTCTTGTCGGAAGAACTGCATCTGAGATAACGGCCATGGCGTTTAGGATTGGTAACAAATACCAGATAGTGTTACTCGAGCCGGAGTTTAGTCGATATTGTGCCCAACGGTCTCACAGGATAAAGGCGTGACATTGATCCGGCAAGCAGTGTCCCCGACCAATCATGGTATCCGAGGCATGCTGACCGTGGTGAAGATGACACGAAGTCTCGAGCGTTTGTGGTCACACAGCCAATGAAGGCAGAACCATTGGTTTGTGTTACCAATACATGTTCCCATTTTGCCGATTGAAGGCCTAATTGCCTGTTTCGAACTCTTGTCGATTCTTGAGAACCAACCATCTGAAGAGCATCGCCTCATCAAAAGGCTCACCGATTGAAAGACTACTCATACAAGATCCAGTTCAGCCAAACATAAAGAATTTTAACTAAATACTTCAAACACAGCATATCTACGGAGTATCCCGAGTCGCGATCTCAGCTTCAATTTGTTTCTGGTGACAGAAGAAATCTACATCTGTCTAGGTCCTCACCCGTTTGGCTGCTGACGGTCATCGAGACTTGTTGTACTGGTAGGGTTTCTCAAATGAGCCTCGTGGCTCTCATAGATAACCCAAGGACAGTTCAGCACGGTGAAACCTAGCATACATTAATAGTTATAGTTTCGAAAAGGTTCCTTCGACAATTGAAAACCCATACCTAATTGTTTCCGAATTTCTCGAGATAGGATTCGAGCTGAACAGGGCATTTTCTCCTACGGATAGCAATACTGTATTGAAAGCATTCCTCGCTGACATCATTCAGAAAATCCTTCCACTTTTGGGAAGATCGTCTTTTCATCTTTACTGGTCAAATCCTCGTTATAAACGCGATTTAGAATGCTGAGTGCCGAGAGCATACCCTTGCCGGTGGACAGAGATGAACACTTCCCTGGGGTTTGAATGCGAGATGCTATAGCTCGGTTCAACGTGGCAGGGTAGAATTGGTGAGAACAACGATCATAAACCTGCCGACAACACCATCCTTCGGATATCTGGCAACGTGCCCCGTGCGCTGTGACCTCAGCTATGTCTTCAATGCTGTCCAAATCGATTTCATCACTCTCAGAGGTAACCAATATCTCATTGTGACAGCGCTGATCGGAGAACGGATCGATCGGCTTAAGATCATTGACCTGGGACATCCAATTGACAATGATCCGCCGTGTGTCCCGTTTCAGCTCTGTAATGTATCCTATCCACGGCTTTTTCTCGTCACCCTTGATAAAGACAAACATGTTGATGGAGATTTGGAGATCATGATCTGGTGCCAGTAAGTGTTTGAAAATTGTCTTTTGACCAAACTTACATTTTGTCAGGGATGGACTTTCTGATGACGCCTTGAAAATGAATTCGGCTCTGTAACTTTGTTAGACACATTCCAGTTTGCACATGTAGAAGTTAAGCTCACCCATAATTCAGAAAGATCTCTTCTCCTCGCTGAATGAATGTTTCAGCATAGCCTCGTATCATTTTACCGCACCTCGTTCGGACGTTCTTAAGGTTTGCGTTATTGTATGGATGCATCGCATGGTTGCTGAAAACTAGAAGATTTTTGGGGCTGTCGCCGTCAATAGAATGAACTGCTCGTCATTAACATCGATCACCCTGATTCTGAACGGATCACTACATTTGCTCACTGCCACCAAGGTCATCCTGCCATCGTCGTTCTTGCACGCATAGTCCGTATCAAGCACCACCTTTCCGCAATAGTCGCCTAGAAAGCTGCCGGATGGGATACTGTCACAGGCGAACAGACCCCAACCAGCATCTGGCAGACCTGAAGGTTTCACTTCGAGAAATGATGGGACGATGTCACTATCATTGTTGCCGCAGTCCTGGCATAAGCAACGTCCTGGAATGCAATAGTAGGACAATTGGCGGCATTCACACCGTCGATCGCACTTGGATTTACAATGGCATCCATGGTACATAGGCTGGCACGTGGAGCTATCGCATTTACAATCAGCAAAGCAGAAGGTTCGATTACCCACGCAGGCGCAGTCCGATGTTTCGTTGCACGGCCATTATGCTGGCAGTGCTCTGGAAATTGGTGTTCGAGTGGCCGAACGGCTAAGGTTGTATCGACTCTGCATTTTCTTTTTTGGCTATACTTCCTCCTCCGAGTGGATTTCGACATTTCTGCTTCCCATTAGCGCCACGGGTAACCAATATCTTGAAAACGTGGACGAACTCATTAGGTAGTGCTCGGCGTGATGGACCCAGTCTGAACAAGTCTTTTCTTTGCAGAGCAGATGACACCTTCGCCCAAGGTTCTTGCCAGCTATCAAAATTCAATTCTGTCCCTATCCAGTCTCAAGCAGTGACACGAGATTATATTGGTCTAGGACTGTTGTTCCCTTGCGCACTACCTGTAATCACCGCTAGCATGGGAAACCTACGACAGCCACCCACCGGTCTCACATACGCATGAGATGCCGAAGCGATTGGCTTTCACAGTCCCGCCACCAAGTCCTCCCGTGACCTGGAGGAGTTTGATAGCAAGGTAGCCGCCAAAACCTGTGTTTGATTGGAGTTAGAGCCAAACGCATCAGTCAAGGGTAGTAACCGTTACAGTCGCCTCACAGGCAATAATACTGTAACGACCAGCCTCTTAACCGGTGAAGCATTTTTAAGCAGGGCTCTGCTCAGCTACCAGTCAACCATTGAAATTTTACATTTTCTGTCTCTCAATAACATGATTGGCTCCAGATATAGATAGATTCTATTCCCATGTGGAGAATCACGTCTTACCAATCTTGTGCAACATTTCCCCCTCTGGTTGCCTACTTTGGTGCGTTATTAACAAGGAGTTGGGGTGGCTGGCACCTGGGCTTGATAGATATGACATCCTCGTCACATACAGAAGTTTGTTCAAAAAGTTTCATTCTGAATTCCCTGTGCTGGGAGTTTTCACAAGAAGTCGAAAATGTCCTGGATACCTCACACTCAAGAATCTCGAGCGGATAGAGAGAGTTTGACGACTCACCAGCTGCGAGCGTCGTCTCCAGTCTTTTGCGGTGACATTGGAGACACCGAAACGACCGCTGACTGTATATTCAGGTAGTCTGAATCTTAGTTTCATGCTTACCAAGCTAACCGAAAGATGATCAGTACTACTCCTGCAAATTCTCCCCAATCCGGGACCTCGATTGCCGCGGTAGAGTCACCGAGCCCGACCATTTCTGTCCAGGTCGAAGGATTGACTAAGGACATCGTCGAAGAGGATTTAAGAGCTGTGTTCCAAGTATTTGGGAAAGTGATTTGCGTCAAAATTTTGCCGGACAGTGACTATGCCTTGGTGGGATACACTCAGCGGGTTGATGCTGAAAAGGCTGTCCAATGGCTTGACGGTATTCCGATCAAGGGCATTTACGTTCGCGTCCTTCCGTTGAAAACCCTCCAGCAACTTTAATCCGGACTATTTCAGAAGCCAGCACCTCAAAGTCGGCAGCACCTCTGCCTACCTGTTCAATTAAGGGAACACTCGGAGTTCGAACCATTCGAATCTGCCCAAGAAAAAGAGACTCAGGAATTGTGCAAAGATACAAGAACCCACGTTCAAGCTAGAATTTACATCAGAGAAATAGTGATCCCATTAGGTCAGTGTTACGATGGGATCTGGATAATCGAGCCGGTGTTTGCGGGCTCCTCAATGATCCTTGGTTGCTACATAGGACGAACCTGGCATTCCCCGCCAATCAGCAACTCCCAGTTCTGCTAAAGACAGTACATCTGCTTTCCACGGTCCTCGTCCAATGCTTTCGCTAGCAGCTTTGTTCATCTGGCTTCAAGGCCTTGATCAACGCCTTGTCTGAAGGCCAGCTTTCAAACAGCGAAAACCCTCCAATCGTTCGAATGTCCGAAGACCATCCAGAAGCTTGGGAGGTCGGCGTAGTTAGTGTAGCAACGAATATGCATCCTAGTCGTCTTCATCGATTCAATTGACCTTAGGCAGACTGTAAGAGTTTCGATTGAATTAATATGGTCATACACAGCAGACTACGATGGTAGAATTGAAAATATTTGTAATCCCCATCTCTCTCCACTCATTAGCCTTCACCATTTTTCAAATGCCTTGTAAAGAATACTCTAAGCTGATACACTTCCGCGTGGCAGGAAGCTGTCTGAAGACTCCACACGAGCCCGTTTCCCTGGGTAATGAAAGTCTTCAGACAACTGGCGAAAAGAACTTTAGACGCGCAATACGGTTGTCGAAACGACCACGGTGCAGGCATCGACCGATGGCCAGCCTTCTGATCGGCGGGGTAAAAAATGCATCAGCAACTGCAGCATAACGTGCAATGTCTCTCCAGCGCACTGGTTGTCACCCCTCCCTACCAAAAAGAGAGACTTTTATCGATCGCTGAGAGCCAGTTATTCCACAGACAGCAACACGTAAGGGTCTGAAAAGAAGCAATCACGCAAGAGTATCATACTGGTCTGCAAAACCCTGTTTGCCTTGCTGGTTGAAAGGTTAAGGCATAGCTGCTGCCTGTGTGGTGTCCGTTCCGGCGACCGTTACTGTGACCACTTCTAGGTCGGCTCCTTCCCATAAAACAGCCTCCCTGCTCAAGGACCCTGCAATAGTCACACACTCGTCTGTTTCGAGTTTCGTGCCTGTTGCAAACAACACCGATCTATGTGATTGTTGTCTCCTTGGCTACATGCACGAACGGTGTTCCCCATATGCCATTGACTTATATTGATAAGTACTCTGTACAGACCTCCCTTCTCCATTCTTTAAACTCACAACCGCCGCCCATTTCAACGCAACTAATACAGTTTTCCGACCTAGTTCAAAGTCTGTGTGCAGTGACAACAATGCAATCCATATCGCAAGCACTTCCATTTTACGCTACATCTACGCATCTCCCAATACTAAACAGAATTCATCAACACTTCGGCATAGAACTCTTCGTCACGACAAATAAGAGCTTCACCAAGGCGAATAACGAATGGATCTGCCATAGGCGAAATCATATCACGATTGATTGCTCTTTTAAATGGAAACCCTTTGATATCGAAGGTCCGCTCTGTATCTCGAGAGGTGCCCAAGGTGAACCAATCCAGCAGTTTGCATTGTCCATTTCGGCCGAAACAATGGGAGAAGGCAGCAGCCCTTCCTTGATTCAGTATACATCAAAACGCGATGAGGATGACAAATTTGTCCCTCGAAAAAAGATTTTCAGTGCCAGAACACCTCAGGATTCTGTCCGAATGCCAACGAGCTGCATATTCGAGAGAATTCATTTTCAAAATTCAACATACAGTCGGGGATCACAACAACCGTGTTTCATTGTTGTTGAATTCTCCGCCAATATTTCCAGAGATAAAGAGAATTGGGTTACTATTGCGACGAAGAAGTCCCATTCAGTGATAGTGCGAGGTCGCAACCCGTCTTATTATCAGAGGATGTGGAGCAGAAGTGTTGACACCCAGATATCGAATGCCATGAAACAAGAATTTGTTGCAAGTCCAGACAACAATCGAAACACTCCCTCTTCATCTTGTGCACGTGGCACGAGTGAGTCACGAGGTTTTCCATTAACCGGGCAAGAAATCCCAGACCAAGTTGAGGGGGCTGTTTATCCGCAAGGGAAAGCGTGCGAGATTATCGATTCACTGCGATTCGGAGTAAATCGCTATCGGCCGATTTGTTCTTCAACCTTGTCGGCCACTTCAGCTGAAAGGTGTGCATCCCATCTCCAGGAGTATGATGCCGGCTGTACTACGAGTGGGAATGAGCGTTCAGGATGCGAGCTCGAGGTCAATGACAATATTTCGTGGTAGGTTTGATCCCTTTAATTAGGTCTCATATTGACAGAAGACAGGAAAATGCAAGGCGCCGCCTACGACTCCATGCAATTTCAGAAAGAGAATGGCACTGATCGTTACAATACGATCTTTAACGGAAGCATTCCCTCCTTCCATTCTCCAGGAACTCATGACCTGCGCACTTCCAGACTGGCGCTACCACCACCATCACCCTATCCACACTTGGACAATCTCTATCAACAGTGCTTCTCATGGCAGCCCCAGCAACCATGGCCACCCCATAGTGCTGTTGACGGAATGAACGATATTGACATCAATAATAACAATTCCGCACGCCGCCACGACCAAAAGTATACGTCAGCTAATTTGGTCAATACTGAGGTAGACCTTTTGCAGCCTTCTTTTGGAGCCCTCAGTCAGCAGTCCTACAGGTCGATATACGATACTCCTTCGCTTTGTGGCCGTCCTTCTCTGACGTCGCCAACAGGCGCTGCTAATGCTAACAGACAAGGTAGAGGGCTAAGAAGTAATTTTCCCGAGTATGTTACCAACATACTCCGTCGTTGGCTTGACGACAATTTAAATTGTCCATACCCTTCTCTGGAGACCAAAAAGTTACTGGTGGGAGAGACAGGACTCACATTGGGACAGGTGAGTTTTGTCTGTCTGGGTATATTTTTATCTGCCCTGACAAGCTCTAGATTGATAACTGGTTCATGAATGCTCGGCGACGTAATACGCAACTGCAAATGCCACGAAAGTAGCCTGGACCTTTAAACTACTCAATTGATGTGCTTAGGATCTTCTGAAGAGTGGTTGAAAAGATAGGGATGCTTCATGTTAGGAAGACAGTGTAACGGATGAGATATAACTCAAGTTGTAGCAAGTCCGATAGATTTGGGTTGTGAAAGGGCATGTTTTGATATAATTCACATCCAAATACTACTGCACCTCTTCGATTTGAGAGGCTAGGCGTGGTTTTGTAGCCGACAATCGCGGCAACACCCCGTACAGTACCAAGGACATACATAACATAGAATTTCTAGTGCAAGGTTAGACTAAAAGTGTCTGGGCAAATAGCGGAATACTGTACTGTAGTATTAGCTTGAATGTCTCACCATTTGAGACACCGGTAAATGAGTACTGTATCGACCGGACTACAGTCACTTCGGGAGGATATCTAGTGAGTATTCGGATTTGCATCCAACCACTCTTTGACTCGACGATTTGAGAATGCCTGAAATTGGAGCTCGACGCCAGGAAGCTCTTGCGTCGAAAGGTGTGGCCGAACGACGAGGAGAGGAGACGCTATGAAGACATCTAGCGATTTGCTACCAACAAAAGTTGTGGGCGTGCGCAATGCATCACGCAAACATATGGCTATTCAGATCAGCTCGAGAAGACCATACCATGTACGATACTGCTAATAGAGGGTTTGAGCTTTGGTACAATGCATTTCCCCTACACAAATGTCGTGAGGAAGGTGGGCAAGATGCGGAAGACAGTGGGAAGAGGGCGCCGGAGTGGCCGCACGAGTAAGATGCTACAGTACCGTGGGATGAAATTGAAACACTCTTTGGTTTGTGATTGGAGGCAACACATGGAGAAGTCGGCAAAAGATTAAAGTAACACACGAGAAACGTGGGTGAGGATTCATCAAAGCGGTCGCGGCCGTCGCCGGCAAAATCCACGAAGAAGCGTTGTAAAACATGAAACCCTACGCCAACGTCTGCTGGATCACGAAAGACATAGGGAAAAATTATGGGAGGTTGATAAAGAGGCCGCAACCAAGAGTGTAAACCCATGATTTTCTGTGGCAGGATGTGGAACGCGACACCAAGAGACAACAGTACAGTGTATCCTGAAAATGCCCTCCCCTTATAGTTTTTCTTCTGAGAGATCTGGCCGTACGAACATGACTTGAAGGAGGGTCTGGATCAAGGGATACCAAGGTGGATAAGACTTAGCTCACGATAAGACGGCGTTTACCAATAAGGCAATAATAGTCGAGAGTCCAATGTGATGTATTGACGAGTCTGATCTCATTCACTAGGAGGCCATTTGCTGTCTATTTGTATAGTAAAAAGGAGCGTAAATCATTCTCCGGTTAAAGCTGTCTCGCGCCATGGACTGCCGTTTTCACTCGAGCACATGCTCAGCCTTGTCTACTTCGCTTATCACATGATGGGTTCGTTGATGAGGCCTGCTCAACCATACAGACAGTACTGCATCATCCTGCTTGAGGAGGACTTTTCAGGTCCATGTGCCAGTGCTTTTTTTCCACCGCCTTCCACGGTAAGCCCATCTCATTCGCTATCTGCTTCCACATATGTTCACACTCGCTAATTGGGAATGCGGTCAGCCTGCTGCCGAAAAGAAAGAGCAGACGGCTTCGCGACAATACCTGGAGTAGAGGCGGGCAATGCGATCCGTGCTCTTCATCACCCAGTGCATGTCTTCTGCTTTCTCCCATGACACGCCCAGCATTGTTGATATCTTGGTCCACATGTCTTCACGATGTCTAATTGTAGAATTCTGTGAGTCCATCGTCCTGGGATAGGAGCTAACAACTATCCAACGTACCTAGAATACAATTCCGCAAGGTTCGCCAGCTCGGTTTCGGTCCATTCAGTCTTCTTCTCTAGATAATTCTGATAGCGCAGCCTACAGCTGGTGGAACTTCGACCAGTCATCTCTTTGCTGATTTTATCCCATGTCTGTCCCTTTCCACGGAGCTTTATTACTGTCTCGTCTTCCTCTGAAGACCACGTCGACTTCTTCCTTACACCTGGGCCGGATGCATTCTCTTCCTGATTTGAAAGTAATTTCGAAATATCCATTTCGAATTCAATGCCGTCGTAGTCCGGTACATGAAAGAAGGTGCGTGATCTTTAGGACAAAATTATTGATGGTTATGCTATTGATGTGGAGGAACTGGTTCTCCCTATATTAAAGGAATCATACTAATCCTTACGCCGGAGAAGCCAAATTATCAACCGAAGAGATCATCTCAGGTTTCAAGATTATGCTCATGGGCGATAATTGATAGTTATTATTTGCTTAAAATCTACTCTTAACTGACCAACCTCCCTAGGTGTCAAAAAGTGATTGGCTCTTTATGAACAATACCTGGAGACCATTTTCCACAAAGCTGCAATGCAACTCTCTGGTGTCTATTTAAGTTCTGCAGGCGAGCCAGACAGAGTTATTATACCCTGGTCTGACCGTCGCCGAATAATATTGCTCTTGGTATGGTGTAGCTTTCACGCTCATACCTCCGTCCAAAGTGGCGGTTGGCCATTGTCGACGCCGAGAGCCAACCACTTCGCGACCAGCAATAATACCAGCGACGCAAAACGTGTCAAGAGAGGTTATTTGCAGATAAGCAGTATGTGCATCGCTGCGATTCAAACACTACAGCCTCATGAATTGCTAGGCTGGTCGTGGTCGCCTAAGCGACGAAACGCGCGTGACCGACCCTTGAAGGACAGTCCAGCATTGGATTGGACAAACCTCCCGGTTGGGCGTCACCAATGAGCGGACTCGGAGCGGACTCGGGGTGTTCTTCCCGTCTGAGAAGAACAACAAGGAACAATACAGGACGACAGCTCGGATTCAAACGCTACGAGATTCCTCGCTGCCTCCGTACGAGAACGAACACCTCTTTACCGACCCGAAGGCAGTACACGTCAAGGACATAGAAAGTCTCGACAAGCCATTCCTGTATTCCGAAGGCTGTCGATGCGTCTTGCTGTCTCTCTTGACCGCCTGCCCCCTCATCCTAGAGTAGACTAATTGCAGTGGCTAACCGTTAGCCATTTGAAAAGGGCTGATTACGCGTCGTTCGTTTAGAAATATGTCGTTCGCCACTATTAATTCTCACAGCCACAGTTTCGGATAGTGTGGGGAAAGTGTGAAGAGAGAAAGGTTAGATCCCCTTCGGGTGATTTCATGCAGCATACTTTTATTATCGTAAAATTGGAACATATCTTACTCCGGTGTACTTTCCTGAGAAGTTAGCTCGACAACCCACCGAGGATCGCAGTCCGGCCGTGTCATAATCTCTTCGTCGTCCAACTTCAGTAAAGGGAGGGTCTCTGCTCGACTCGGGTCTTGTAGTAATTCAAACAGACTCCCACCCAATGCGCGGTCCAGCTGTCGCAAAAATCGACCTTTTTCCGTATCGACCGCGTTCAGAAGCGCGACGTGCTCGGGTGCTGTCAACGTCTCTTCGAAACTGCTTCCGATTAGTGGGAAGGTGCCGGACGAATGCTATTCCCGCCTGTGAAAAGATAGCCACTTACATTCTGTCACTGACCACTACTTTAACATCTCCAATCGACCAATCGCGGGTCACCAAGCCAAGAGAAGACCAACCAAAACGTTCCGCCCATGAAAGCCAGCGCTGGCCGGCTTCGATCTGTTTGGACAGTTTTCGTTTACATTGATTCCACCGAGCCGCATCCGGAGCATTCGAGTCTATCAGACCACTCTTGGTCATGGCCTGGCCTTTGTAGTGATCAGGGAAAGCCGTGTCCCAGATGTGTTCGATCATTGAGCAATACGCCTTAGCCTTGTCGACCTTTGTAGGGGGCCTTCGTCTTGAAATCCATGCGTCTTCATCGTTGGTCACGAGCCGACCCGCATTTGCTGTTGTGCTGCGATACAATTTCGCCAACCTAGCCAGTGCGAATCTTCGCATGTAGCCGTACATTTCACCGGCTGTATCGATGGCCGTTAGGGTCCTGACTAGCCTTTGAGGCTCATTGCTAAAGACATCAGCCGTCGACGGGGCTCCGCCTTGTTGTACAGCGACCATAGCTCGTTTCAGAGCGCCGAATCCATGACTGTTGCCGACGGCCAAAACCATTGTCACAAGGATGTTTACACGGTGTGGACTGACACCCTGTGGATATGCACTATTCGCGAATGACAGCCCTGGTCGTCGACAAAATCGGTCCCACAGGCGAATCGCTTTGATTGTTCCTGTCGTATGAGCTGCGTGAGACGTATGCGGCTCTCTTTTCATGTCCCACTCTTCCCAGTAGGATTGGTCGGTTGGTGATCCTGTTGTGGCGCTCGCAGCCGACTGCAGTTGAGTTGTCGACGTAGAACCAGTACCTCTTGGTTTCTTGGTGGGCGTTTCAGGGCCAACAGTGTGAATCGAGCGCTTATTAGATGACCGTACTACATGCTTCATCCTGGCACGGCTGCTGTCAGAAAGTCCTTCGGGAACTTTCACATTGTTTGTCTGGACATCATCTCGGCCTCGCTTGTCCTTCCTTACTCGTCGCTCGTCTTCCACCTGCGTCTCAACAGTAACATTGTTGTTGGCATTGCGATTATTTGTACCATTCTCAGATATGTTCCCTATTTCGGAGATATCAACCACTTCTTCACTGTCCCCATTCTCATAGTCCGTCCTCAAACCGACTTGCTTTTGTGCCGAAAAGCCCTCCCCGGTCTGGCTAAGACCATGATGTTCTTCGTCTATCT